AATGAAGTACAGTACATGTTATTTATGGAATATATCAGAAGTGGTAAACCCTTGAAAGACCTGAATCGCATTCTCTATTAGGACGTACTTTATATTATACTCTAGTTTTTAATTACAGTACTTTAAACTTGAAATTTAATCTTCTAATTTGATATTTTATCTAATACTAGCTGCAAGTACGTGCTTCACTAGGTTTTTATTTCTTCGTACATTTATATGTAATATAGTTTATATATATATAAAAGACTGTTTCTCTTCCTCTACATAATCTTTCACTGAATTGATGTGTTTCCCTATAATTTTCAAGTTGCTCTTCTGTCTGATTATTTCTGTTTCGTTGATAATTTTCTCGTAGCAACGTTAGACGTACTTCTCTTTCTTCCGTGGTTTCATTTCTCCCCGCCATATTTTGTCTTTGAGATATGATTCGAGACCATAAAAATTCTTTCTTACGCTTTGGCATTGTTTTTTTTTTTTTTAATTTTTACTTTTCACACTTCACTATTCACTTTTCACTTTCTACTTTTTTCTGTTATTTGTACACTTTTACTTATGAAAAATCAACTGAAGCGTGTGCGTCACGCGTCTCCAAAAGCCATCCCCACTACTCACACATAATGGTTCTCACTATTCCAAAACATTTAAGATTAACATAATTACATCATAGTTAATCATACCCGTTTTCCCAGAATGCAAGAATTAAGTCCGGTTTCCAGACTAATTACAGAATTTTTACATAGGTCTAAAAATATATTCGATGTCCCGCAAATACGCAAAAAACCACAAATGTGCCTGTAAATCTTGCACGTCACTTTCTCTTAACACTTCAACTGTTACTTAACAACTTCCATTGTTAACACTTCCCCCGCACGGAGAGATGGTTAACACTTCCCAGCGGAGGGAATTTTGAAAAATCTCTTCTTTGAGTACGTTCTTATGACGCACCCTAACTGTGTACCAAATTTCAACATTTAACTCATAACCGTTTGGACTCTGCGCTTCTTATTATTATTCGGAGTGGCTATTTCAACGGGCAATTTTGGCAACTAAAAATAATATTGTCGACGAAATCAACTTTAGTATTCAAAAGAAAATTCCCGGTAATATTCAAAAGAAAATTCAGAACTGCAAGAGCTCCTTCTCTTTTAAGTTTGGGCATTGTATAAAATATAAATCAAATCAACTTTTTATTAATAAATACACTAAGTACACTTTACACAATTTTAACAGTTTATTTTCGATTTATATTCAGTTACTGTATCACTTTGACACTTACACTTCACTGTTTGTTTCTATTCACTCACTGCACTACTTTGGAATTTTCACTTCTTTTTCGGTTCTTCCCTTCATCACTGATAAGAGACTGACATTCTAACAACGACGGATCTTGCTTTATATGCCCCCAATGGGTAGTCCCATCCATACGAAAAAGGCTTCGAATGGTTTACAATGTTCCAGGACATTTCACAACATTCGAGAGTGTTCTGGAATGTTCCACAATTATCTCGGATGTTCCCGAACGTTCCAGAGCATCACGGAACATTCTGGAATGTTGTGGAATGCTCTGGAATACTCTCTAATGTTCTGGACTGTTCTAGAAATTTCTAGAGAGCGAAACTTCCAGCCCTTATATCTTCAACAGCAGGCTCATCGGGTAAAAACGGGAACCTTCTTCGTGGATGGAGGATAGAGGGCTACCAAACCATATAACTCCCTTGATCGTACCGGGACTCGTTTTTGAGTTTTAGCGGCACGCGCATTGTACATTTAACTTTATTATAGATATTGATTTTCATTCATTTCCTGTATTATATTACGAAACAAAAATCTGTCGATCGGTAAAGATTGTTTTGTAGTGTAAAATCACTTTCTGTTTCTTTATATCTATTGATGTCATATAAATACGACTTCACTTAGTTCTTTTGAAAGCCTTCCATTCATGTAGCTATTTATTCAGACTGAGGTGAAGAGGTTATTTATAGGCTCAAATGTAATTGTCAACTTATTCTCACGCTTTGATTCTTTGATCATTTTATTGGCTGAGGGATACGTTGAAAGAAGGAATTTTATTTTATAGATTCTGACAAAGTGTTATCTCGGTTTATATTTGACTAGCATTACTTTCTAGTTGCCTTGATTGGCATACAGGGTGAACTTGTCTACAGGATTACCATTACCAAATGGATTTAAAACTACTAGTGGCATGGAGCAGGGATTTGTGGAGAACGTTCAGGAACACTCTCTATTTTATTTCATTAGGCAAGTTTTTTACCATATTTCGAGCTGAGCCGATAGCTATTATTTGATGTGTTTGCTTGCTATTTTACGTAGATGTCCTCTCGATATGGATATAAACGTCGTTTCACGTAGGCACTCGGAATGTTTTCGATTCACTACAGCATTTTTATAGGAGTGACGATTTCTTCTTACCAAATTGATTCTCTGCAATAGTTTTTGTTGGTGGATGAGAGAACAAGCCGACGATGTAAGTGCTGATTTAACGACCAAATAGATTATCTTTTAATGCATTTATTGGCCTGACCCAGCTCTTATAATTATTTTCTATTACTTTCGTAGAGCTGACAAAAACTAGACTATTTTCACTTATTTAGAACAGTACAGAATTACACTAGGACTAAAACAGAACAAGAGGTTTTCGCCTAGGTTGAATTGTATAATATAACTTATTTTAAAGTCCCTATCAGGGCTTGATATGAAGACGTGGTGGGTTGCAGCACCTCTTCAATATTTTCCTTTGGATTTTTGGATATGGTATTCGTTATGGCCATTGCTCAAATTTTCTTCAAAAGTATTAACAATTTCTTCTACCTTCACCAAAGCTTATCTGTGCTTGTCGACATACACCGGCGATTGTTCGAATGTATAATATAACCAAATATTCGGTCTTTCACCGATGTATTTTGTATGTGTCGACATTCACCGGAGATTATCGACGTTCTCTACTTTCGATCTTTCACAGTAACATATATAAATGAGAATGTTTGTTTGTTTGCTATACACGCCTAGGCCGTTCGACTAATTTCTACGAAACTCGGCGGTTACGTTTGTATACCCCTAACTTAAATAATGTGGTACACCACAAACCAAAATATCTTTTAGATTTCTGTAAATTAATTAATTTCCACCTACATTAGATTTGCTAGTTTACAGTAGCGCCATCTATTAGCAAAAATTTAACAAATAAAAAATAATAATTGCTGTTCAGTGATAATCCGACACAGAACGCGTAGAAAGAAGACTACGGTGTACGTTAAAAGATTTTATTTAAAAATAACTTTTACATGAATAATCATTCTTACAATTTTTTTTAATATTTAATTTATTATACAATGGAAAAAGTGTAATTTTGAGTGTAGGACGAGTGCTACTGAAAAAGAATGCTAATAAAAAAGAAAATCTTCATTAAGTCCGACCTGTCTCGACACAGTAAAACTTCATTATTTTGATACTGAAGAAAGCAAAGAAGCACATCTTTAAACTCCTTGCAACTAGCTTGACTATCATTTGATAACCTGGAGCTACAGGTTGGAGCACCGGTAATGTTTTTGTGAAATATAGACCCAGAAACGTTATTCAATGGGACAAGAATATTTTATTTTTGTCCTACTAGTTTGAGGAATTTTTTGTGTTTTGCAGTTCTATTATTAAAAATAGTTAATTAAATCAGTAAATTCAGATGTCAGCTACTAAGATCATTGTTTTTATCACTCTCTCTCAATTCCACATCCGCTGAAAAACTTGACTAATTGTCGGAAGTTAATAATATAAATAATTTTTTATGAGAAAGTTTCATAACAGGTGGCGCCACATACAACTTTTTTATAAATTTACTAAAGAGTAAATAAATTGTATTTAACTTATTAAATTTCAGTTTTATGTAATTTTAAATAGATTTTCTATTACGTATGTGTAATTTAAAACAATTATAAACAATAATTTAGATATACAGTACACATTTATATATATCATCCATTTATATTCCTCTATATATAAAACTTCTGCACTTTTTAATATAGAAGAAATTATCAACAACACTACAGATGTAAAAATGTTGTATATAATCTGAAACTTTTGTGTAACTATAAGATTCTATTTATTCCTGATTTTAAGAATGAATATCAGTATCAAGAGTGCAGTATAAATTTAAAGTACTGAATACAATTAAACCATTTAAAACAGTGAAAATGCAACTTGTAAATTTTTATTTTCCTTTATTTTTTTAATGTTTTCTTCTTCTGGATAAATAATAGCTGTTATTCTCTTTAATTATTCTTCAATATGTAATGTATTATTTAACACAGTTGAAGGTTCCTCCTTAGCACTTTTCTTACTGTAGCTGAAATATTTTTTAAAAAATATACTTTGTTTTCACTTAAGATATAAAAATAATATTTTAGCATCTGAAAATAAAACAAATATAGTCGTGTAATTTGTTTATTATTTAATTTTTTAGTATTATTTTTGTATAATTTTCAAATTAGAGTAATGCATAAAAGGCAGCATCATAAAAATACATCATAAAAAATGATAAAAAAAACAAAATTGCACTTTTCTACTCATTCATATTTGTTTAATAAATTTAAATTTTATGATTAAGTATATTTAAAATTGTAATTCGTACGGGAGGAAGCAATAAATGCATTATTTTCCATATATTTACTAGTGGCCAAATGCCAGCTCTTCTAGATCTTCACTACTACCCCAGTATAATCTTAAGATTTCTTTTACCACACTATTTATATACACGTAATACTTTCGAATGTTTTCTCGCTGTTCTGTAGTGTAATGTACTGTACAGTGCGTGAACAGATCATGAATGTTTTATACGTCGAACGTACTCATCTGCATGTTTTCCGATATTACTGCATAGACTTGTACGAAAACATACAATATAGTACACAAGGTTCTCTGCAGCTTTAATATTACTAAGAGAATTTTAAATAATTTCATTACTTGTTTAAAAATATATTATTACTTACTGCTGGATGGTGTCTTTCAAACGTGTATTTTTTGTTTCCGGTAAAGGAATAACACTGAATCCTGTTATAATCATCAACACTCCTATGATAATAAAAGGGAGTTTCCAATCGACCTTGACACTCTGGTAAGATTATTAAGTAAGACATTATTAACTATAATAATTTATTAAATTATAAAATAAAGACAGGATGCATACCAGATCTTTCATAAAAGGAGCGAGAATAATACCAAATCTTGAAAAAGTAGAACACAACCCTAAACCAACACTACGTACTACGGTCGGAAATAACTCTATGGTAAATCCAGTTAGTGTGGCAGATGCAATCGACGTAAAGAATCTGCACGACACGATTAAAACAACACTCAACCATGGGTAATCTAGTACAAAAAATTATAATTTTTAGTAACATCAGTAACAAAATAATTGATATCATTATTTTGTCAGTTATAATTAAAATAAACAAACTGTCTTATATAAGTGAAAACTGAGGGTTTCACTTATATAATGCTGTTTGTTTCTTCTAATTAAACTGACAAAATATAATAAAATATAATAACGAGAAAAGAATAAAGTTGTTCCACCAGCAATATCAGTGTTGAGAGACAAGGCATACAAATTGAATTTTATAATTAAAGTTAGTATTGTTACACTACCATAACTAGAAAAGTAGTATTCAATAACTTTACCTTGAGGGACGGCGATGATGAGTAATGATATAATACCATTAAGTGTGCACAGAAATATCTCTATTCGTTTCCTGTTAAATCGATGCAGAATAACATACAATACTCCACAAGCAATGTAATTTAATAGGCCAAATAAAGAGAAAAGAATAAAGATGTTTCCTCCAGCGATATCAGGGTTGAGAGACAAGACATACAAATTGAATTTTATAATCAACCTGAAAATTAAGTTTATAACTTAACACTTTTTAAATATTTCTATTGGTGTTTGTATATAATTAATTAATTTTAACATTAGGGATTAGATCGATGAGATAACAATATAACAGAAGAGAGTCCTGTCAACGAAGATGACACCTAAGAGGACTTTCTATGGGGAACTACCTAAAATATTGTAACAAACACAGTTTACTGACTGGAATTATTACAAATAGCAAAATGCACTGTGTATGGGGTAAATGTATACATAGAGCACTCTTATTTCTTATAATTCCAGTCAGTAAACTGTGTTTATTACAATATTTCAGATATTTATTGTGTTTAATATTAGATGTCTAATCTTCAATAGACTAATAAGAGGTCTGCGTACAAGCAATGCATTCGTAAGTCAATAAAAAGTTATATTAAAATAATTTAGTGTGGTTCTTTAATGACTGTATTCCTTCTCGACTTGATGTGATAGGCCCTTCTAATTTGCTTTTAGCAAATACAGAATAATGTCGATTAATCATGTGAAGTACGATTAACTATGTGAAATACAAACCTGAAAGGTGTATCCATGTTTATTTATGCTATTCCCTATCTTCACAATTATTTCGTATTAGTTTAAATAGTATAATTTATCAAATTGTATAAATTGAATAATTATTCAAATATTTGCATTTTTAAAATCAACAAATACTAATTTAAATCTTCAACATACGAGTATACGAAAAGTTACAATTAAAAATATTAGCTTACCACATGATAGGAGTGATGAACGTTATTTTCCTTAGTCCTCGTTTTTTGAATAGGTCTAAGAAATTCCGTCTGACTTTCTTATCGCCCTGTCGAATTTTATAATGAATGAAATTAATATAATTTCAGTAATATGTAGTGAGTGAGATTATTAATTATTTTATTAAAGCATGTATCTGCGATTACCAAATTTAAAAGTTACAGTATAAATTATTGAATGACTTTATAACTAGCAATTTGCATTATATTTCCAAGCCTATGTGTTGGTGAAAATTTATAAAATTATAGAACTTCAAAAATTTTGTTTTCTGTAGTATATAGATTAGGTTTTTTATTGTAACTATTCTTCGATATGCAATTGGATTTACCAATTTAATTTTAAAATGTAGTTCTGAAATAATTTCAGTTAAGCCGACAATCTGTATTTTATTTGTCCTCATTATTCGTTCTATGACTTCTTCAGCTTTATGCAGTTTTCCTTGGGCTAGCAACCACCTTGGAGACTCTGGAATAAATCTAAAAAAATAGAAATTAAACAATACGAATAAAATACGTGTAATATATGTTAATACATTTACCTAGTAAGCAGTAGCAGTATAAAGGGAGGCAACGAGCAATATAATTGAATGTAAAACCAGTCCTTCAATAACCAAGATACTCCTACCAGCGTGAGCATTCCAGTGGTATAAGACAAACCGGCAACAACAAATACATTTTCACGATAATTCGGTCCAACCACTTCTAATACTAAATAAAAATTGTATTCAGCAATATACTAATATACTTTACTATAGGCGTTAAATATAATGTTCTAGATTATATGAAAAAATAAATGTATAACCTACCATATACAAAATAAGCAAGACCATAAGCATTTTTTCCCACTGCTGTAAGGAATCGACACGCAGTGAACATCCAATAGAATGGCGAGATGGTGCACAGCAATCCAGATAAAATGTGAAGGATAATGCCGAAAATGATTACCGGTCGTCTTCCATATCTGTAAAATTCGGCGTATATAAATTATCGTTGGTTAATAAAACGAAGTAAAAAATACGTCAGTACCTATCAGAAAGCTGACCAATGATAAGAGCGGATACAAATAGTCCCATGAAGTAAGAAGATCCGGCGAACGAAGCCATCCAGTAATCATCGCAAACTAAATTCCACTACAAAATAATAATAAATCGATCAATTTTTAGAATGCAATTCTTTAAAGATATTTTTTTACCTTTTCGATGATGCTTGATTTAAACACTGAATGATCGTATTCACACGAAGAGCACGGAATCGACGACAAATTCACATCTTTCGTATCAAGTTCATAAACTTGGCATTGGCTATGCACAATTTTACCTTTCTTTATTTCTGTGGGAGCGCTGATATTTTTCCATTCTTCTACCGATAAGTTAAAGTATTTTGGAGGTCTCGCGCACCAATAATTGATCCTGGGTGCTAAGAAAGGCCAATTCATGTTGTTTGCAGCTGATGTAAAACTCATACAGATCAAAATCAAAACTAACGTCTTTTGATATTTTCTAAATCCCCCGATAAGATCTATAAAATCTTCGTACTTCTTCGTTTCCGGCTAAAATATTCAATTTGAATCACAATATAAGATTAATTTAATTATTATTAATATTAATTATTTAATTAGTATTATAATATTAATACTAAACATAAATATTAATATTAATATTTATGTTTAGTATAATAAAAATTATACTAAACATAAATATGAAATAGTTAAAAATAAAGATTAGCGAACAGTGTCTGTTTCCATACCATAATAGGATGAGCAGACCAAGGTGGCCATTTTGCCTAAATTTTTGCCTTCTACGCCGTTTTAACTGCACAGTGTATATATGTCAGGATATACCAACTTGGGCGGCCTTATGGCCGAGTGGTCAAGGTGGCAGCCNGTATAATAAAAATTATACTAAACATAAATATGAAATAGTTAAAAATAAAGATTAGCGAACAGTGTCTGTTTCCATACCATAATAGGATGAGCAGACCAAGGTGGCCATTTTGCCTAAATTTTTGCCTTCTACGCCGTTTTAACTGCACAGTGTATATATGTCAGGATATACCAACTTGGGCGGCCTTATGGCCGAGTGGTCAAGGTGGCAGCCTACCGCTCTGGGGAATCCGGGCTCGAATCCGAATGGGTCGAAAAATCCCTAGGAATTTTTCGGGGGTGGTCCGTTCGGATATGTAGAGCCCTGTCCCTCACCACCCGGCAGCTCCATTGTGGGCCTGGCCGAACCCATAATGGGCTTGCAAATATGGGCCCTCTTAGTGCCCACAGGGCGGAAAGAGTAAAAGAAAATATACCAACACGGTGAGTAAACTCTGAATGCTTCAATCAGACCGTCAGATAACTCGTTATAGAACCGTGTCTGTATCCATACCATTGATAGGCAAGCAGTAGAGGCCTACCATTAGCACCCCATCGTCAGCTTTGTTTGTATTGATTTGAAGAAGAAAAACGTGATCTACTAAGAACTGGCAATGTATCGCCTTTAGCAACGAATCTCGGTCCTATTTGAGAATGGATGATAACTTGCTGCGGCGTGGAAGACCACTGGTGAGCAGCAATCATTCCTTTACTGTTGAGCGGAATACTCCTCCCATTTCTGCCTCGCTGGTTTGGACGACCATCTCATATGGCAATCTGTTCCCCGTTGTACTTGTGCAAGGCAGATTAACAACACAGCAGACTGTTCAAGAAATACATACAACTTTCAGGAAATAACTTCACCAAGATAAAAAATACACTATGTATATTACCTTTCGTGTCAAAGATACTCGTACAAACAGCGATTTTCCAGCAAAATAATTGTCGGTGGCATACAGACAGCTGGTGTTTCTTATGGACGTGTACGTTATGTTGCCACACTTCCTTGAAGTGACTGATTTTCATATTTGTCGCCTATCTAGCATTCGTGAGACCAGATAAAAAGCCAGTTGTGCCCATCCACAAGTGTGAAGGATCTGAAGCGACAGTTGCAACATCTTTGGCCAATCTGTCACTTCAGATCAGAATAGACACAAGAGGAAATTCTACGTTGTATTCGTTTTCCACAGGAAATTTTCTTTTTGCTGTGATATTATAATGACTTATTCAACATTATATTGGTACTAATAAAAATTACATTCAATTCCAATGCCTCTTGGAGAATAACTTTATTGCCACAGATGAATTATGAAAATATAGCAGAGGCTGAACAATCCGACTATTCCTTGCATAGAGAGATGCAAATTACTGAGATGGTATAGAGACCAAAGGAAACGAGTGATGAAAAAGAAATTCATCCCTTGGGAAATCTGCCAACGGGAAGTGCCTCCCAGAAGCACTTTTAATGGGAAATTGGTATTAAAAACATGAAGAAACACAGGAAAACTTCATGGCTCTGTTGAAGAGTTGTGAATCCGCAACTAACTACCAGTTCTCAATGGTTCTATCCACTCAATTACTAAAGGGAGATTCTTCTTGGAGATATACTAGTTTAATTATAAAAGTGTAGTAGTCTTAAAGTCCGCGGGAGTTAAATCTCTTTCCAGCTGCTTTAGGAATAAATAAACATAAAATTTATATTAACAATTTTAAAATTAATAAGTATTTCAATATC